CATTTTAAAAGTAATTTTTTGTCTAAAATGTAAGACATCTTATAAATATTAAATCATTTTTCTAAAATGTAAAACACTTTATAATAATTAAATCATTTGCCTCTTGCTATGCATTATGACACATTGCACCTTTTTACAACATGATAGCAATTAAGACAACTTCCCATGTACCTCCTTTTCTTCGTTCGATGTCAATTGAAGCATCTAGGTATTTACAGAAAGCTTTCTCTAGCTCTAGTTAATGACATTAGTTTTACAATCAAATTATTTTTCAATAAAAAATGAATACCATTTCTCAATTCACTCCTTTACACAATCCAAATACAACTTGTGATGGACCCCGTGACATAAATGACATGACATTGAAACTTGAGGATGGCAAGCGTGAGCATGGTGACATGAAATAAGCCTAAGTCAAGGAGCCTAACACCTCTAATCTACATGCCTAAAGACCTTTTATAACATATTGGAGATCTAATAATACGAGCCTGAATTAAAGCCATAAAGCAATCCTTGTTCAACCTTGTGCAAGAAGTTAAGAGCTTGAAGAGCATTGGGTACTTCTCTCAAACCTAAAAGAGAGCATCTAAGCGTATAATGTGCTTAAGATCTAAATTCATGAAGAGTCAAACCCAAAAGATGCAAACCCTAGCCCAGGCAAAGGAAGACTATAAGTGAAGCTTCTTTCAAGTAAGGAGGCATGAAACCCTAGTGAAAAAATCAAGGGTGGCATGATTTTAGTCTCTTATAATCTCTTGATTGTCTCCTTAATGTTCCTAATTCAGTGGTCTTTTGACTTGACTCCTTTTCTTAAGGAGCAAGATTAGTCATAATTTTCTTATTTTGTGTCTAGTCAAACATTATAATTAATTGTATTATTTTCTAAATTTTATAATCCCATAATTTTAGGATGACATCTCCTAAATTATGTGGCTAAATATTTTCTTTTTTATTTTATATTATTTTCATTCTCCTTTTAGCATTGGAAATTAGGGCTTTAATTTAAGAAAATAGTCTTCTTTATGAGCATATATATATTAGGCATGCTCCCCCTTGTAGATAGATGAGAAGTTAAATGAAATTATTTATTTTAGAGTTTATAACTCTTGTGAGCCTTAATGCTTTTGTAGCGGCATCTCGTGTGAAAAATAGACGTGATGAGAGCATAATCAACTCTTATGGTGTTTTTGAAAGTTGAGATTCCTAGAGGCAAGTGCTTTAAAGGATTTTCTCCTTGAATTTTTATCACATTATTTATTTCATTTTTTTCTTTATTTTTTTCATAATTTTCGTTCCTTCTTTTTATTCTTGTATTTTTATTTTGTTTTAGGGTTCTGTCCCTAAATTAGCTTGATTTTGCTTCCATGTCCTCTATCAACTTGGGTGTCTTAATTCATTCTAAGTGCAAAAAGCCTAAATTATACTTTGGACCACACCAATAAACTATAATGGACAGATACAATACACCACATCTAATACATTTTCAGTACTCAACCTCATAATCACAAAAACAAAAGGAGAGCCTCAATTTGATAATCATTGTACCAATCAATATAAATTTTTATATTTGCTCACCTCTCACTTACACTAATATTTGAACCTTTTTCTAGAATTCACAATGAGTATATATACAATTTAAGGTCCAAAATACACAACATAATTCAACAATCTCATAGTGTAGGTAAGCCAAAAACATAAACTTCCTAGTTGGCAATGTCATACAAATTATACACATAATGATAATCAAAACAAATGAGGCATACTATTTTAGGATAGAATTTTAAGCTTCAGATTGTTTCGCTCGATCTTATCCCAATGAGCTAACCCGTATATACTAATATATGTCAATTAATTTAAATGCAAAAGATAATATATCATTTCACTTATATCATTCATATTCAAATTTCATTTTCACACAAGTTACAATATTTTTTTCTCAAATTCACAATATTCATTTTCATAAATGGCAATATAAATTTTACAATTATGATATTAAACTCATATTATCACATATTCTCAAAATAAGGGACACAATATAGATAATCATATGCCCTTTTATCACAATATGCATGATCAAACTTTCATTATATCCTCCTTATACCTCCGACACAAAACCATGGGTTATTACATATTAGTATCATCCATGTGATAAAATTACTCTAGCCATTCACACGTGAGAAGCTACCCAGCTAAAGTTGTCTAACTTATTTTTGAATCATGGTTTTCCTCAAATCTCACACTATGGGATGCCATTCTCCTTAAACTAGCTTCCTTATTGAACAAGTAGAAACTAGAGTAAGTTAAAGTCCTTTATTATACAATTGACAATCCCTCATCAAACCAATAGGACAATAAGGGTAATAATATTTAGGCAAACTATCGAGCTCCAATTGTAGCCTTACCACGTAGATTTTAAACTCGCTACTCCCCTTCCTAGGTAAACTCTCGCCTCTCATGATCATGTAATGCATAAAATGCAATATTCCTTAGCATGCAAAATACTCAATTTACAGGCATGCTTAATATATACTCACGTCACATATGATTATCACATAGAAACATAACAACAAATCATTGAACTCCATATCACATTGCATCCTCAAACTCCTAGAAAAAATCTCATTGAACTCTGCTTACAAACATGTATTGAACTCCACATTTTACACATCCATTGAACTCTACATTTCACACATTCATTAAACTCCCCTTTACACACATTCATTGAACTTTACATCATAAATGTTTATTTTAAAACTTTCCCTTATTATCAAAGGGAGAATACAATTTCATGTGTCATACTTGCATTTTAAATAATTTTACATACTTCAATTATATTGCATAAATCAATAAATTAATTAACACACAAAAACACAAGAGAGATTTTTTCTGGTTACCTCAAACTTTTGAGAGGTCAAGAGTTAACCCCTCAAATACACACTTCTAAAGTTTCACTAAGCTTAAATAGTGTCAAATTGTGATTAGTTTACAATTAATCACATTAACCACCATTAATATCCATTTCAGGATAATTTTCAACACCCACTCAACACTTTCTAATTTTCAAAATCATAATTCCCTCATTTTTAATCACACCCATTAGGTTCACTAATATCTATTAAGCCACATTAACTTTATTGAACTCCTAACTAGCTATTAATGGCTTCATGTTGCTCCAACCACCTCATTTATGGTGGATTTTTGGGTAATTACTACCCTTTAACTACTAAAACTCACAAATTCATAATTTTTAGGTTTAAATAATCCAAACAATTTTGATTAACTCTATTTAAGTCAATGAATTTGAACTCATACTTTTTATGGACAAAAAATTATCTTTTCTAATAAACCCTAACGTCTATATTCAATAAAATGGAAGAGAGAAGAGATATTGACGTTTAGGAAACTTACCTCTAATGTTTAGAAGCTTCGAAACACTCTTAATGCTTTAAAATCCCAAGCCTTAGTAGAGCTCATGGTTTTCCCCTTCATTTGCTCTTTTGTTTCTTTTTTGTTCTATATCTAATCCACGCTCTTATTTCTGCAACATTTTGACCATGTGTTGCAACATGTGGTACAAAGAGGCACATTTCATGTTCTGGTGACTTGTGTGTTGCAACATATGGCACAAAGCCATTTCTATTTGTTTTTCTCCCTTTTCGACATCTGGTTGGCCTAGCTTTGCTTCGAACTTATTCCTAGGACTAAAATCATAACCTCACACATCTATTAGCTCTTTGTAACCACACATCACACTAGTCTACTCATTTAACCCATTTAACTTAGCTAATTGGGGTTAATCTTTTATGAATGTTATAGGTACTAACAACTTGATCTCAGTATAAGTCGACCCTCTGGTCTTGGTTAGTGCTAACGGTTTGGTCCCGGTCCAAGCTGGAGGCTTAGTCCCGGTTGTCCTTAACAATCTTGTCTAGATTAGCTCCGACTGTCCAATCCATCTCCTATAGTTAGTCTTGGTTATTGGTGGTGGTTTGGTCCAAGTCAATGTCGACCATCTAATCTAGGTCGTCCCCGACTACCTTGTCCCTATTGTTTGGTCCCAACATGTCTAGCTATCCTGTCTCAATTATTGATGGTGCTTAGTCTAAGTTAATGTCAATCATTTAGTCCTAGTCTACCCTGGTCATTTAGTTCCATTCACAGTCTGTCATTGGTAGTTTGCCAGCCATATGATCTAGATTTACACTGACAATCTAGTCTAAGGCGACGCCTGTGGTTTAATCTTGGTTGGTGTCGTCCGTATGGTCTAGGTCAAAGTTGATTATTTGATCTTTATGTGTGTTGGCGGTCGGTCCCTATTAATATTGGCAAGCAAGTGCCAGTTGATGGCAGTCTAGTCCTGGTAATCTCTTATGGTCCTAATAGACATTGGTTGGAGGCAGCGATGTCAAAGTCGAGAAGGTAGTGAATTTAACAAACAAACACAAGGGAAGAAAGAAACTTCTATTAAAATTTGAAATAATAGAGATTTAAATATGATTTGAAATTATAAAGGAATTGAGATAGGATTGAATTTGGTTTTGAATCAAATCTAAATTCACACATTTTTAATTAAGGATAATAATAAGTAAGGACCTTATAAGAATAGTAATACCAAATTAAAAACTTTAGTATTGAAATATGGTAGAAGGAATACTAAAATTCAAGAAAAATAATGTTAAAAAATTCTAATTTAACATTAATGTTCTTACAAAATTTTTGTTTGTCATTCTCCCTTTTAATTATACAAATAATAGATTTAACTCTAATTTAAATTTATATACATCTAAACATAACATAAGAGGTTATCTTAGTTTAAATAAGGTCTCGTGTTTGAGTCTTGAAAATATAACAAGTATTGTAATTGTAAATTTTTAAGGAGGTGGGGAAGAGGCTTTCCAAAAATGGGTCAACCGGATCTCGATCTGAATTAATCTAGCTTCGTGGGTTAGTGGCTGGGATGTTGGATGCTATGTGTCAAAACAAAACAGGAAAAAAAAAAAAAAAAAAAAAAGGAAGAAAAGAAAAGAAAGAATGTGACAGAGAGTACTCGAGGATGATTGAATTCCAGTTACTCTTTCAACCTCAGAATTCTTCCATACCAAACGGAGCCTAAATCTTTTATTTCTTTTTGTGATGATTCTGAAACTGTTTTTCATCTCCTTTATCCTTAAGGGAGCGGCTATCTTGATCTCGTTCAAACTGCAATTTCTCTTCTCTGCTTCAAGATTTTAGCTATACATGTAACTTGTATGGCCGTTTGACCCACCGTACTCAAGGAATTAAGCTTTTGCTGCCCCGGCTAAACGATGAGCATTGAAGCGGTTGGTATTTTGCAGTTCAAGCTTTAAAGGTATATTGTTGCGTTTATTGCGGAATTATGGCTGTTTTACTTGCGTATTAGATGATCATCGAACCTCGAAGGGACGCTATATCGGTGTTTCTTCCCTAGCATCGTGCGTTTGGAATTTCTGTTGTTATATGCTTATGTCCCTGTTATTGTGATAAAAATCGCCTAAATCAGAATTGAGATTTTGGAATTTTACTCTTGAAAGGGCTAGAAGCAATTGCGTTCATTGAAATTAGAGCAGAATGTATTGCAATTTTTTGGAGCATGCAGCAGAGTATGTGAAGCAGGCGGTTCATGAGGATGATGCTGGAAACTATAAGAAGGCATTTACTCTTTATATGAATGCATTGGAATACCTAAAGACCCATTTGAAGTATGAGAAGAATCCCAACATCAAGGAAATAATAACCGAAAAATTTGTTCAGTACTTGAGGAGGGCAGAGGAAATACGTGCCATTCTTGACAAAAGAGAAAATGGGCCCAACTTGTCTGGCGGCGCAACTCAATCTAATGTTGTGAGGCCAAATACAAAGCCAAAGAGTGGAGAAGCTGGAGATAAGGATGATCCGGAGAAAGCAAAGCTGAAGGCTGGTCTTGATTCTGTAATAATCAAAGAGAAACCAAATGTCAAGTGGAGTGATGTTGCTGGGCTTGAGAGCGCCAAACAGGCATTACAAGAGGCTGTGATATTGCCTGTTAAGTTCCCTCAATTTTTCACGGGTAAGCTCCTCAAATTATTTTCTTGTATTTTATTTGTTATATGATAAAGATGGGACACACTCATGTGTCTGTCAATACTGCCATGAGACACTGTCTGCATGCTTGCAAAATTATATGAATTAAATGTTTGGCAATGAAGAAACTGTCCTTAGTTATTTGTTTGATTCTTTGAGGTATGAAAATTAAGTAGAAAAAACTACTAATCTCATAACCAATGAACTCATCAGTCTTGCTTGCTAATTAGATGGTTTAACAATCATCATAACTCATTTATGTTTGCCTCTAGGTGAGGAAATTCATTGGTGATCAATAGTTATTGACTTCACTGAAATTTTTTATGAAAACTCTTTATTTTTGATTTGAGTCTTCTAAGATCATCCTCAGTTAAAGAATTTATAGCATATAAAGCACCCGACCAATTTTCAATTTTATTGACTACAATCTCGTGTAATCTGATACTTGCTTAGGGAAGAGACAACCATGGAGAGCATTTCTATTGTATGGTCCCCCAGGAACAGGGAAGTCATATTTAGCAAAGGCTGTAGCTACAGAGGCAGACTCAACATTCTTCAGGTATTATATTCATGTATATTAAATGGAATAGAAGGAGCACTTACATTATACAATTTCTCAGCTCATCATGGCAAAACTTAGGATAGGATTACAAGTTAGCCATTTATGCTTATGGCACACACAGGAAGGAAGAGGTTTATTTACTTTTTATAATCATATATTCGTTATCATAATTGCTTGTTTGTGAACCATTCTAACCTTAAGCTATCTAGTCATAATGTAGTTAACTTTTTTATGGTTCCAACTAATCAATTTAACTTAGTGGTGTTTGTATCACTCTCAAGTCTCGTGCACCAAAGCCGATGTTTGATATAATGTTTCAACTACATAGACATGATTTTGGGGTCGCTTTCTGTGCTACAATTCTATTTGCTATTTGTCTACAGTGTCTCATCATCAGATCTAGTTTCTAAATGGATGGGCGAAAGTGAAAAGCTGGTTTCCAGTCTTTTCCAAATGGCTCGTGAAAGTGCTCCTTCAATTATTTTTATTGATGAAATAGATTCTTTATGTGGCCAACGAGGTGAAGGCAATGAAAGTGAAGCATCTAGACGCATCAAAACTGAACTTCTTGTACAAATGCAGGTAGGTTTGGTTCACTGGAAGGCCTATCTTACATGGCCACTAAAAATTATATCTCTATTGTTTGGGGCATTTTATAATTACATCTTCAAGGGTTTTTCTAACATTCAATAATTTATATAGTCTTTTGGGCATCTTAGTCCTTGGATTTTGAAAAGGTTTTCTTCCTTGAGAAGGAAGAATCATACTAACTAGTATATCCAACCACATGTATGCGGCAGTCATTCTTTCATGATTTGCAATGGAATAGTATCAAATTGAGTTCACCATTTGCTTAAATGAGTTGATCATGCCTACACCTGGTATCTTTGGATCATAATCAGCATTTGTATGAAATATTTACAACTGCTTTAATTCAAGATTAATTAGGGTCTAATGATTGTGCATCCAATAGGTTATAGCCTTGGCATTATAATATTAAATGCTTCACTTTCCCTTAATCAATGATGCCCTTAAACGTTGAGAAACAGCAGCTGCTCTTGAACTCAAATCGATAGATCTTCCAGTATCCTTTCTCTGTGAATGGCTTTTGTCATATTTTATCTCTCAATACAAATTGGCTGGTAACGTATACACATATTTTATACATTTTTCTTGGTTCAAGAAGGTCTTAACTTATAAGTAGCAATATATTTTAACGTATTGAAATTCTGTTTCATTTGAGTATGTGTCAGGGTGTGGGTAAAGAAGATCAGAAAGTTCTCATTCTTGCAGCCACCAATACTCCTTATGCTCTGGATCAGGTTGGAAAATAAACATATGAAATTCTGCAGGCAAATACTGAAGAAATTTTTTTTATGGTAATTATTGTTAGGTTGAGACTAAAATAAATCCATGCAGGCCATCCGACGACGTTTTGACAAGCGAATATACATACCTCTCCCAGACATGAAGGCCAGGCAGCATATGTTCAAGGTGTGAAAGCTTTCAATGATGTACATATCCTTGCGTGTCCGCAGAACATAATAACCATGGCAATATCTTCCATTTACAAAATTTCATCTCTGTAAGGATATTTAATATGGGCAGGTGCATCTTGGAGATACCCCACATAACTTGACTGAAAAAGATTTTGAGGAATTGGCTCTGAAAACAGATGGATTTTCTGGTTCAGACATTTCTGTTTGTGTGAGTAGTACTCACTCGATTTATATGTTTTGGATTCCTTGATTGGCATCCTAAGTGTTGGCTTTCTATTAAGTAACTATTTGTGTATAAACTTTTGGCATCGCTATCCCTATAAGCTTTCACCTTTCTTTTTTTCCCCTTTCAGGTTAAGGATGTACTTTTTGAACCAGTTCGTAAAACCAGGGATTCCAAATTCTTTAGGAAAACCTCAAAGGGAATGTGGATCCCTTGTGAGCCTACTGAAAAAGGAGCTGTTAACATTAACCTGCAAGAACTTGATGCACAAGGACTTGCTTCAAAGGTACATAATGGTTGGGGAAATGAGGGATTTTAAAAGTTTCTAGTAGAAAATTTTGGATTTGGTTTTCTTACATGACATAATGGCCATGCAAGGAGATATGGATTCAAAATGAAATTGCATCTATAATATCTCTTCTGACATTACCATCATGTACGTGGGAGAATTACGTGCTAAGTATGCCAACAGCTGAAGGAATTTCATTATAAAATCTTAACTGAATGGCGTTAACTTCTCTTTTGCTGTTTGAGACCAATTTGAAAGTTGATTTCACAAATCCTTATTTAAATTCTGATAAGATAGGAAGAATGTTAGAGGATGATGCCTAAGAAGAAAAAGGAAATTTCGAGTTTAGAAAAGAATATATCCATCTACATGTTATGTTTATGGTTATATGATTTGATTTGATTTGATTGGTAATTCAAAACAGAGTATTTGTTGTTGGGCACTCTGTTGGTCCTGACACTAAATTTCATTCTTTATCAAGTGGAAATGTGATTCAATGTCTCTCCTGATTTCCTTCATTTTATTTCTGGGAATTGGTGCAGATTGTGCCACCACCGATAACAAGAGAAGATTTTGATAAAGTATTAAGAAGGCAGAAACCAACAGTAAGTAAAGCTGATCTCGAGGTGCATGAGAGATTTACCCAGGAGTTTGGAGAGGAGGGTTGACTGCTATTATCAAATGAAATAAGCAGTCACTTCTGGACAATTTATGTACCCATTATAAAATAGACAAGCCTTGATAAATAGAATAAATAGCTTATAGGGTTTGAAGCCTGAAACTACGTTAGATAGTTGAGGGAGCTCTGCCACTCTCATGGTCTTTCTTAGTCGAAGTCACATTGGCTTCCAAATACCGTGTGGTTTAATACCATGACTCAGTAAATTGTTATCACCATATGGTTAGGAAGTTCTAGTAACACCCTCTGCCTTGTAAATAATATTTATTAAAAATGAAAAAGAAAAGATGATGATATCTGTAGATTTTATTGTATTAATATACCTTCGATTGATCTTTTGGTTGGTTAAAGATTTTGGGGGAAAAAACTTCTAATCTTAGTGTTTGTTTGAAAGAAACAAAGTGTAAATTTTCTCCCAAAAAGCATTTTCTTTTTTATGAATTAAAAAAAGTATATTATGAATAAGAAGTTATAGTATTTTCTTGAATACGTGTGCTCGGTTGAGTTAATTGCGTGAGTTGTTACCACTATATGTATGAGGATAAGAAGTTGAAGTAGATAGCCACATTCTAGCATCAACGTTCTTGATTTGTGAATAATTTAATTTTTTTTATAAATTTTATAGTAAATAGTATTTAAGTACAAAGATTCTCATAGCATTTTTTTTTAAAAAAATGTATATTATTTATGGATAAGTACTAGTGATTGTACCATTTTGGCAATTAAAGTGACTTCCAAATATTTGTATATAATTCAAAATAAGTTATATTATTTATTATTTCTTACACAGTATCTCAAAAATTTTCACATCATGTATCTAAATATTGACACTAGAAAATGAGAATACGAATATTCTTAATTGAGAGATTCAATTGCTCAGTTGTGTAATTTCCATAGTTCAGATCCAAAGAATGAAAATCTTTCAGCTGCGAATTTCACAATAAAAATAGCAATTTTAAGTTAAAAAAACAATTTGAAAATTTGAAATAATCGAACAAATGATGAATTCTTTCAATTGAAATCCTGTCAACAAGAGCAACGAAGTGTAATGTCTAAATCTACCCCCAAATTACAACCTTGTCATGTCATCTCACGTCATGGGAGGAACCTTACGTGGCAGCATGTGTTCTACTGGGAGAGAAAATAGGTTTGAATGGTAGGTATATCGTCTCAAAGGCTCATAACGACTGAAAATAATCCCAAACCGCACATAAATGGAGAGTGAAAGATTGTTGACACTATTATATGATGCCAGTCCATTCGCAGCGTGTTACTTTCTTGTTTTGGGTTTTGGACTCTCAAGCAGTGAGGTCTGTAACAGTAAATATAGTTTAACTGCTCAGGAGCATTTACCTGAAACATGCTTGGAGAAATGAGCGCATTGTTAGAAATCTGACAGCACAAGTGAGAAACAAAAATGTCTGAAATAGCATGAGTGAGTGACATCGGGAAGCATCATGCAGAGATGTTATATGTTTCTTTAACTCTAAGATCGGCAAGTCAATCGTGAAATGTAGCTAAAATGAAGTAGCTTGTAGAAGGGATTCTAACAAAATTAGTCACGGGTCTCCACTTGATATGTTGAGTATTTGAGTGAAATGGTCTGAGAGTTTCGTTTCAATGACCACGTGAGTAGTTCAATCTTTCCACTTCAGTTTCCAATCCCCAAGGGCTTTTAAGCATGCAGTTTGAAGGCAAGCTACGGACAAGAGGGATTGAATTTAAAGGAATAGCAGTAGCTTTATTTGTGATCAACTGGTCAATTCAATATAAAGTCTATAGAAGGTTGTACTATTAACAAGCTATAAACAGTATAACTTACCTTATTCAGCGCAACGCATGAAACTCATGTCTAATTATATTAATAAAGGTGTGTAAGAATAAAACAAATGAGATAAGATTGTGAATTTTGTAACAAAGATTTAGATATCAAACAATTCATTAGCAAGATCTTCAGTACCCAAGATTTGCTTCATCTGGGCTCTACTTGCCTTGTTTCCAAGGATATACTTCCTCCATTACAACCTCTCACATTTTAATATTAAGCTTGTTCATGCTGATCTTTTCTTTTCAATTTTTAGTTTTTCTCCATGGACTTTGTATCTTGTATTGTAATCTTTTGCCCGTAATATAATTTGTTCTTTGCTTTTCTTCAAAAAAAAAAAAAAAACCAGTTCGTAGGCAGATTAATGAGTCTAAGTTACAACGTCAATCCCCAAAATCAATGGCTGAGTCCTAAACCCTGACCTCTGACCTCTAATCTCAGCCGATTCAATGACCGGTCCGATTTTCAGTATTTTGTAGTACAAGGATATTTAATCAATAATGCATTTTGCTAAATAACATTGTCCCAGCAGAGCTCAAAACAGTTGATACCTCATATGGGCATGGCTTTCGCTTGTCAGGCTACACAGGTCTGGCACGACCCCTATTATATTTTTGCGGACTAGGCTTGGCAACATCCACAACTATCATCCATCCATTGATAATCTGTCAAATTAACATCTCTAAACATTCAAGACTTTGTCTTGTCATGTTGATCGCATTCTTTTTTCACTCTTTCTCATTGACAATTGTAAAGCAGAATAAATGGAAAGAAAAGAACACTTGTGTGAGTCTGTGTGTGTGTGAGAGAGAGAGATTTTTTACCTTGCCATTCATCTCTTTCAATGCTGCAGCTGCAGCCTCCTCTGTTGTGTATTCCACAAATGCATAACCCTTGGACCTTTTAGAAATTTTATCCATAATAACTTTAACTGTTAAGTATGACCATCTATTAGTAAAAGCCAGGTCCCATTTTCTTACATAGTGAGAAAAAATAGGAATAAATATAAATTTACACATGCACACGCATGTGAACTGTGAAGGTACCTTCAACAAGCTCACCGAAGCCTTCAAACGCTGCACGTAAGGTTTTCTCAGATGTATAAAATGATAGGCCTGTTAGAAATACAATAATTGTCAGGTGGTATCATCTCCCACATGAAGGAAAGTATGCTTCAGGAGATAATTAAACATGGGTGATTTTCTAAAAAATTTAAGCGACTGCAAACTCATAATAAAATGAAAGGAAAACATAACTTTGGATCCCTATACTTTATTCGTGTTTTGCTATAGATCCTTACATTTTTTTTTTTGGTATTGTAGGTTCTTACACTGTTGTTTTCTTTTATAGGTACCACAAGACCAGCAAGATGGACAGGAAATGTAAGATGGACCAATAAATAAAGTTTGCTTGGAATAGCATACCTGTCACAAAAAGCTTTTTGGTTTTCAAAGGAGTTGCCTCACTTGCTTCAGAAGAGTTCAGCACATTCAAACTGTTTTCAAGGTTCACACCTGTTTGACATGTAGTTAGATCAAAATAGAAAGAGACTAGTAGAAAACCACAAACAGCATTAATAAAATATTAGTGCAAACTAATAGTCATTGGATCGTTAAGGAAAATTAAATCATGAATGAGACCATAAAGAGTCACACCATTTCCTACTCTAGAATATAGCCAATACAATGTTCAATACACATTATTGATTAATAAAAAGAGCTAGTTGGCTTTGGCACCCTAACTGATAGTCTTTGAATAGAGTAGGCCTTGCTGCCATTTTCTTTACCAAAAGGGGGGGGGGGAAGAGTTGGTCGTCTATTAAAACCAGCCCTAGAGCATTCAGATTCATCTATCATTATAATATATGGCAAGTAGCAAGACCACTGATCTTTCCCATGCAGTCTATTCCAGAAGAATAGAGACCATTCAATATAATAAAAAAAATAATTAAAACAGAAAGATATACTGACTAATGACAATTTTCTTCCCTAAAATCGAGTAAATATCAATAAAATATAATGAAGCTATTGACATCAATGGAACAATAAATTACATAAAAGGTAACCTATTCTGCAAACACCCTAGTAGTATATGAATTGAGGTAGATATATAGGTCCACTTGGGTGAGCTGTTGAAGTGCTTGTATACTAAGTCCATTTTTAGTAGTTAACTTGTTATGCAAAACTAATGCCAAAAAATATGCAGGATAACAGCTCATATGAACCAAAAAAAAAAAAAGCACAGCCAAAAGAGTTAATATGCAATAGTAATACAAGGAGACATCAGACAAGTTGATCAAGTGGTGGCAGTACATTCTGTCAATAAAATAAAATCAACATTCATACATGCCACTCTTCCTCTTTTTTCTTTCTGCCCTATAACATGTTCCAAATGTACTGCAACAATTTAAATCGTATAAGCAAAAAATTTACACCATCACGGTCTCTCACAACTCACAAACCTGCATAATCTTTAATTTCTGACTCAAAATTATTATCCGGCTGAACTGATAATACACCAGGCACGCCTGCACAACAAGAAGCATTGATTAAATATGATGATTGCATTGATAGTTGATAGTTTGATTTCACAAAAAAAAGGGGGGGGTAAAGTTTCACTAGTCTAACCAGTTAGCTGTTGTGCACAATCCTCATCAAGTTCACAACAAAAGCCAAAGTTGGTTTTCCAAGACACATGGTATATACACATTTGTGCATCCTTCTCACTGCAAAGATGATTGTCATGTGAGGGAAAGGAGAGGTGATTAAGAAAGTAAAAACAGTAGAGCTCAAAATTTCCCCTTACTTTCCCATGACTTTGGCTAGAATTTGAGCATAATAATCCACAACCTGAGCCTTCGTAACAACCCCAACCCCAGGTTTATGCATTCGAACAAGCCAATGCTTTGAATTCCCAGCAGGGAACAACAAAGTGGCCCCAGTTTGTAGCTTTGACAAATTATCTGCCCACCCATTTGATGATCTATAATCCTTTTCCGGAGAGCTGAAATCCAGATCAGGCCTAACCGAAATGACGCCAGGTATACCTGGAAACATATATGCAAAACAATTACTTCCATTACAACAATACCTGTATCGCGAGTTGGCTACACCTTTTACAAACCAAACTTCAACTCCATTTTGAGGGAACCATAAAACATAACAAGCACAAGCAAATGCAGATAAATTCAACCTAGGATGAATTTCATCATCACAGAAACAAGCAAATCAGCTGCAATTAAGACAGGTGAACCTAACAATTTGTCAAATTGTTGGGCCCAAGTAGCTTTAATCTCAAAAAATTAGTAAGTTCACAAGTTGCTCTTGAAAATAAGAAACTCTTTGTCCATCGATCTTTCGTCAAGGTAACCCAAGAATCCCAAAGGAAAAATATACAGAAAGTTTGCTACTTCCAAAAACAACTTATCCACTCACGAAATTTGAAGTAAAGCTAAATAGTCGAATAGTTATTTTTCCAATAAAAAAAAAATAACTTACGAGCGAGCTGGGAAGAAGTTTCTTCATCGATGTCGCAACAAAAACCGTAGTGGGTAACCCACGAAGCATGGTAAATACACATTTGAGCCTCTTTCTCACTGTTGGAATCAAATTCATCGTACTTTTAGGACTTAAAAAAAAAATCAAATATCGTTCAGATACAAAACCCATGATACATTTACCTGCCAACAACTCTTTGCAGAGTTTGAACATAATAATCAATAACTTGCTGCTTGGAATCAACCCGTTGTGGAGGCTTTTCCATGATTACTATCCAGTGGCGGTTCTCAGTGGTGGCAGAAGCCAAGGGAGTGTAAGTAGTTACTGAAGTTGCCGCTATTCTAGAACAGAAACACTTACAGAAACAGGAAGACGAGGAGGAAGAAGAAAGCTTGAAAGGGGTTGTGTTATTCGATGAATTGCGCAATCTGGGGTTTAAGGGAAGGTGGGGAAGTTGGATAGTATGAGGTTTGAGAATGGAAAAGGCCATAGATTCATTTAACGAAGGCGAAATCAATAGAACATCCATGTTTTGGTTCGGCTCAAAGCTCTCCTTCAAGATTGATTTTCATGATATACGAGTTTTCTCTTTTCTGAATGCTCACTCTGCCTTCAACTCCTCACTTGTGAGCAACATTGGAAGCAATTATCCAAACTTGCTGAAGTTATTAGTGAATAGGATAGGCTCCCTCGTCTCCAGGTTCTGTTTATCATGGCGTGCGAAAAATGCTTTTGTGGCAGGAGTGTGCTTTTTTTATTTTTTAAAAAAAGCTGATGTAAGCGCGTCGTAAGACTATAACTTTAGGAGTATATCATTACACATAACCAGTAAATTACTCGTGTGATGTACGGATTTTATACTGTAATTTTTATAAACAAATTCAATCTTACAAGATGATTTTTTTAAAAGAATAATTTATAGTAGATATATTCTTCATATCATTTCATACACAGTGAGACTATGTAATTATTATATTTAATATTAAATATGCATAGTAGAGTTAAAGAAATGATAAAAACTAAATGCATATGATATAAATGGATACAGTGAAAGGCAAATTAATAAAAATTATAATTAATTAGATCAAATTATTGAATATTTTTCTATAAATAACATTAGAAGTTATATATATGAAGTGACCATCCTCATCAATAACCAATATTTTTAAACTCTCCTTACTTCAGACACAAGAAAAAATAACGCATAATTGGTTGTGGGTGAAAATATGACAAGATAAGTACAAACCCTCATGATGCAATCTATGACCCTAGCTCAGTCATTATAAAAGTCAACTTAATAGAAAATTGCCTCTTTCTTATGGTAAATAGCAGCCTGGAATCAAATAAACATATATTAATGCACGAGATATATATTTTCATCCTTGCAATTGATCTAGACATTTCTTGAACTTTGATAACATGTTTTCCAATTCGTGTAACTATAAGACAAATGCCAGTGCATAATTCCATAAACTTATTAATGTTTCACGTTAAAAATAATTGAGGCGACCCACTTTAAGCCTTATTTATAATTCAAGAGGCTTGATGTTATAATTGAATTTAAAAAATCTATAGAGTGAAGGTCATCAAGTGAATTCATGTCCCTATTATATTGTACAGCACTATTAAAGCTCAAGTATATAACTCCCTCTTCAAGGAATAGGGATAACATGTACCTATTTATTTCTTTAATCATAGCCAATACAAGAGCTAATATAGCCATATATCTAAAACATGAAAAATTATATATATTGGTAAGGAAATGCGAGAAAGTCAAATCAACAATGAATTTTATTAGTTTCTCTAAACCATCCAATAACAAATCAGTTGGAATCCTAATATCCACAAATTTTTTTACTAACTTCAACAGTAACTCTATCTTCAATTGAGATAATTTAATTAGCAAAATTTTGAAGAACACTAATAAATGCTCTAATATTTGTTGATAGAAGACTCATATTTCTTGTTAGTGTAAGAAGTTGACCATTATCCCACATGTGTGAAGATTTAATGATAATGAAAACAATATCTTCTCTCAACCCGCTTGAATAATAGGAAATGTTTGACTAAAGTATTTGCCAAACATAACAGAAATATCCTTTTAACATTTGTCAAAAGTTTTAAAATAAAACTTTTATGCTATTGAAGCCTTATTCTATAATAACAACTTTAGTTTAAATATTAACAACATAGTTGGTCATAACTTTATTATAGTCATGCAAGGACAATTATGTTATTATTATATTAACAACTTCATCTTTGTTCTTAATAACTTTAGTTTATGTTTAACAACTATGATTTCTATACTAATAAAGGTTAGTTCAATTAGTAAGAATTTGACCTATATATAACCTATAAGGTTGAAGGATAAAACCCTGCTGTTAATGTGAGAGCCTTAATGGTGGATAATCTGTAAGTACATCTGGAAGTATTCTTTGAGTGTAAAAGCATGCCCTAACCATGGTAAACTCTTGAGATATAACTCACCTAAACTTTTTCTTTATTAAAAAGATAATACTTTTTTTTTATTTTGTAGAGGGTAAAGAACATAATTACTTCATTTCATGGTACTATTTTTTTTATTTATCTATTTTGAACATATTTATTTATCATTTTCATGGTACTATTTGTCATTTCATGGTCATTTTTTTAATTAAAATTGATATTTTTATTTGATAAGAATAATAAAATACTCACCAACTACTTTTTTTCATTTGATTATTAATTCTCAAATAAACCATTGCATAATGAATATGATAAGAATGTTAAATGTTATTAAATATTACACAACTATGACTATTTGATAATGAATGTCACTTATTTTTTTGCAAAATAAAAATCAATAGGAGAAGAAACCTTAAGGTAGACTTGATATGAAGAAATGGAAGACTAAATAAAAATTAGCAATGTAAATACATGATGGGATTGAAAGATAATTAGGATACATGTATTTGTGCAATAAACTTATGAATGATAAACTTAAATAAAGTCAGAATCGTAGAATGAAATCATAGCCAAAATCAATTTGATTTATTTATAATTGGTATATTATTTATGTTGGAGGATTTTTTTTATTTAAACTATCAATCTAATTTAACTATCAGATATGTTTGGAATTTAGACCTAAAGACTTTTTTCTTTAAATAGTAACATAATTCCTTTTTGCTTGTTTTATTCCTTGGGCATTAGAATAAAATTTCAAAATCACCATCCACTAATTAATTACATACTTTAGATATTTAAATGGTCAACATTATTTTTTATCAAATTGTTATATTTCTTTTTATCTCATTTGAATTAATATTTAGGAAATAAAAAGTTAATCAAGATTTGTTATCCCAATAGCAAATATTCAAACCAAATTCTTATTTGAATTCATGTATGCGCAAACTCAATATTGATTGCTAGTGAACAAAAAACTCAATATTGATTTATAGTATTTTCACGTAAACTTAAAAATTTAAACTCCTATTTTATTTCATCTCTATCATTTTCTCTCAACTCCTCCATTATTCTTTTTACAATGATCAATATCATTCTCTTTAATTATAAAATATTGGATCTTATAGAACTCCATCCAAATTTAAACAGTTGAAATTCAAATAACAATATTCTATAATTATATAAAATAACTTGATAGCATAAAATAAATAAGTATTTAAATAGGATTGATTAACCGTGTATCTAATAGGATAGCCTCCAATAGAAGGATACCTATGACCCAAAAAAAAAATATAAAATATATGCAATGAAAATATATAACAATCCATACCATTAATGTCATAAATAACTTACTAAGTTATTTGTCGAATTTTATATAGTGAATAAAGAAATATCTTTTTTAAAAGGAGAAAAGTATAATTAGTGATAGATGGAAATTCACGTCACTTTTTTTTATCAACTAAATTTCATGCTACTTTTTTTTAAATAAATTATATGCTTCATCCATTTCAAATTATAAAATAAAGCTAGAGGAATTTTTTGTTCCAAAATACAAGATAATTTGAGAAAAATAAGGTTTCATTAATTATATTTTTCTAATATTATCTTTTAGGTAGAGAAAGAATTAAAATGATACTGTAGTGTAATAATTAAGTGTATAGGGTATTTTTAAAAGTTTATAATTTTGTTTTAAAAAAAAGTTTATAAAGTGTTATTATTGTGTTTTATGTATATATGTAATGTTATTTCAAATTGTCTTATAATTTAAAATGGAGGAAGTATTTCAATCTATATGTGCTAGATGAAAAATTTGTGAATAATTAAGCAAGGCTCACAAATTTTTATTAAAAATGTTAAGCTGACATGTGTTGAGCAAAAAAGGAAAAATAAAAATTGAAGAATATTGAAAAATTATATAAGTGAAATATAAAAAGCATAAAGTATAAAATCAAATTGATATACCAAAAAAAAATGCTTTTTACTTCTATGCAATATACTATACAACTATACATTATATATCTCATATACATTAAAAAATAATAAATAATCTTGAACCTAATCCCAAATTTAACTTTGAAATATAGAATCATATAAAAGATATTCAGAAGCATAGAATTACAATAAATCTAAAAATAAATACCTAGCATTTTCTCGTAGCCTTTAACCCTACTTTTATATATATAATGATATTTTATTAAAATAATTTTTTTCTGGCAAAAAAAACTAATGAAAAAATCATTTGAAGCACCATCGCTTTTTTTTTTTTTTAATGGCCTGTTTGGTGAATGTAATGAAATATAATGCTGTAATGTGATGGAAATTACATAAACCATTACATAAATTTGTTTGGTATGATATTTAAAGATTTAAGAATCAAAATTAGTATTTATATTCTATTAGATTAACATGAAAATAAAAAGGCACACATGCCTTTCCCTTGAAAAAAACATCCTTCCCACTTCTCCAATCCCATCATCATCGTCTTCCTCCACCATTTTAGAGCCAATCAACATAAAAAAATTTCATTTATCTTCCATTACATCCACTACAGCACAATAGACAATCAAACCCCAAAAAAAGAAATCTCAACTTCGAGGACTATAGCTTGTGGCTTGTAGGCTCAGTGACGCTTGTGGCTCTTGGCTTTTGGGCGATTGCTAGGAGTTCGACAACGAAGAAGAAGACATGGGAAAGGAGGGACAGTGGTGATGGTGGATAGAGATAAAAAGGGTGGCAGTGAAGACAGAGGGAGGAGGGAAGGCAGCGGTGATTGATGGAGAAGAAGATGCCGGCGACGAGAGGAGGGACGCTGGTGGCGGTTGACGGAGATGAAGAGGCCGATGACAAGAAGAGGGACGGATTTGCCGGTGGACGAAACACATGTCTTGAAGCGATCTCATGTCCCGTTCTGACATTTTGTTTTAATATGCATGATTTTTTTTTTCTAATATGATTTTCAATTGATTCATTTAATTTTTTTAAATTTTTTACTTACTTGTATTGATATGAATTATGAACGTGCAATGTTACCTCAAACAAAACCAACTACAAATAAACACTATCAAACACAGAAACCCACATATTGATATTAATACTAACCCTTTTAGCAGAAACCACAAAGTCAATATGTGCAAACCAAATGTAATTTACTTTGGTTTATTGATGTTATCCCCATTACAAAATTTGAGGTAATTTTCTTTACCAAATATAATCCCATTTAAATTACTTGAAACCAACAAAACAACGAAATGATAAAATATATTAGAATTACGGATAATTTTCTTGTACGGAATCAAACCAAACAGGCATCAGAAGGTCACAGAAAATCTATGTAAGAATATAATAAAATTTTACATCTTAATTATGGTTCTTTGTAAATAAAACGTCTAGCAAGATTTCTATTTTTTTTTTTTTCATAGCACCCTAACTTCCTAATTACCAACGAGGGAAAGGAAGCACATGTATGAAGAAACTTTTTAGTGTCTAAAAAGTATTATATCGTTTTTATTTTGCTCTCAATAAAAAATGGTTATTATTCTTTATTGGAAAATGGAGGGTCCAATAATTATTTATGAAGAATATTTTTTGAAGATCACCAAAAGTTTGAAATATTGCTTATATTTAATGACAAATAATTCTATTAATTTGTTCCAAAAAATTTTATTATGCAATATTGCTTATTTGATAATAGGAGGAGTGCTCCAAATAATTTTAGGTGACTTTTGAACTTATATCTTAACTTGCTTCAAGAGGTATAAAATACACATTTTTCCAGTTAGATTTTATTCATAAATAGAGTCATAAAAATTATAAATCAAACTTCTAATAACTTGTTTTAAACTTTCAATTAATATATTCATATTAATTGGAAGAAATTTTGAGCATTTAGACATTCTTTTAAGCAGAAAGGTTCCAAGCTTCCAACACAACATTTTTGAAGACATGGTCCAAATTCAAAGGTGTGTTGAGAAATCGTTTAAATTCGAATAATGATATTGGGACCTCACAACATTTCTCTATAAATTCTTCTTGAATAATAATAAATGAACATTAATTTGTTTAACTCAAGAACCTCATTAATTTGTGCATTTTTTTAATTGCAAACCATACACAGATTTCTTTTCAAATCATACCCAAACAAAAAATTATCGCGGGCATTTACATAGGCCAATTAAACAAGTTTGTTATGGTTCTAAGATAAAAGAGGAAGAGGGGTTCACGAATAATATAATAACAAACCCTCAATTTTTTAATTAAATTAATTGTCATTAATTAAGTAAAGGAGTTTCAAGATCGACTTCGACATCATCAATTGAATGAGATCGAGGCTCCAATAAGCAAGCAAAACAGAGAGAAATCATCTGATCATATCAAAATCAAACACAAAGAGATCTCCAAATTAGCAAATTATAAATTAATTAAAATACACGAATAAAAAGGATTAGTGGAGCGTGATTAATTAATCAATTAATTACCATGATAATGGAAGCACATATTAAGCTAAAGCCTTTGCATTGAAAAGGAGCACTGCTAGATAAAAACCACGCTGAAATAACAAATACATATATGAGCATTAATTATGAGCTTAATTAATTTGAAATATATAATTATTAATTATTAATAAGAAGGTTTTATAATTAAAAAACAATTGAAGATGATTTTCGACTTACACGTCAATGAACTCATGATCATAGGAGATAACAAATGAGCAATAGATTGGACCCCAGCAATGAAGCCTTGTGATTTTCCCTGTCATAGGCACTAAGTATCAGTCTTGGACTCACTAATAATCATAACATATTTAAATTTGTTTCCATTTCCAATAATTAATACTCCTTCCATCTCACATTTTTTTGATGTAATTTAGTATCCAAAACATTAGACATTTTAAAAAGGGATAAGATTTTATTAATAATATCATTTTAATATTACCCTCATTATTTATAGATAAATTATTAAAATTATAAACTGTATTTAATAAATTTTATTCATAAATGTAATTTTATTAAAAAATATTTTATAAATTAGGATAGAGGGAGTGTATGAATATTAAAGAAAATCTGTGAATCCATATTGCATGATAATGTTAAGCACACATGAGTAGATGTCCAATGAGTGTTAGTGCTTTATACAGTAATAAATTAAGTTATTTATTTATACTTTTTTTTATTTTATTGTCAAGTATCTTAGGAAATGTATAAATATTATTACATCATGTTTAAACTAATATGAATTCATACTATATGAAATTGTTATTATCAATGTCCGCCTTATGAGTACTTCAGAAATACTTATGACATATTTATTTAATACAATTGCATATTTATTTGTACTTTTTTTTCCTAGTCTGACAGTTACAGTGGAGTATCTCTGTTTTTACCCTAAATATTACTTTCCTCATTCAAAAATATAAGATATTTTTTAAGGAGTTAAATATTTAAAAATATAAAATATTTTTAGTCTTTCAATATGTAATCATTATTTTTTTTCAAAAGTGACCTTATTGATAATGACTTTATATTTATTGTAGGATAATTAATAGAAATAAATATGAAAAGATAAAATTAGTTTGAAAATAAGTAAATACTTTATTGAGAAGTAAAATTTAGTTAAAATATTTTATATTTTTAAACAAAAAGAATATATATTATAACATCTAACATGCGTAATCTACATCAGTGAAATTTGTAGTTTCAAAAAAATCTTAGTATTCGCTACAATGCGCTACTATGAATTTGAGTTCAGTTGGACTCAATTTGATACCGTATATGTTGTTGTTAACTGTGAACATGTTTCTATTATTTTATTTAACGAGCTTAAATTAATGACAAGAAAGCAAAAATGGTTGGATTTTTTTTGTCATTTAAATTTATTTATTGACGTAAAGTAAGAGGAAGGAGCTAGGAACAAACCTGATTAGCTGAGCTTGATGCTTTTGAAATAATAGCATAAGTCTACATTTCAAGAAATATGAATAATCATTATATCAATTCAATAATTATAAAATTATCTTCTATGGAGTAGAGTTAAGAACCTTTTTAATTTTTATCGCGATAATAAAAAACGGGTACAGGTGGTTTTATAAATAAAAAAAATAGTTAGTCAAAAAAATATAAAAAAAAAGATAGCAAAGATATTTTTATTTGAAGAACAGTGCATTTATTTATGAAAATTAATATATGCATGCCATATTTTAATTATATAATCTAACAATTCTGACAATAAAGCTAAAATACTTGGTGGGCTATTGAATGCTCTGTTTTTAAAAGTTAAGTATTTATTTTATACCATTTAATAGTATAAGTTATTCAATACTTTTGAAAAAAATAGTTAGTGGTCAAATTTATAACTTCACTTTTTTTTTTATAAACTCAACTTATCACAATATTTACACATTAAACTTACAGATAAGTATAGGTAATGATGGAAAAAAAAATTACAATTTCAATTGCAAGTTTTATTAAACCACGAATGAGATGGATAAATTTATGTAAGTTGAATTCCCAAAACAAATATTTGCATAAAATAAATAGCAAAAGATGCAGTACTTACAAAAGGTTTCACCAGGACATAGAAGACACCAAGAGATGCACTCAAGTACGCCACCTGCATTCATTAAAATGGCTTCAATTGCCAACACTACACACATATTATTCGCACACAAAAACGAGTAAGGCCCAATGCAAAAAAGGGATGTGTGAACCCACGAAGGCAGGTAGCCAACCCATGAAGAGCCCATATAAGAATTGCATTACATTAAAAAAAACGTGAAGTTACCCAAGGAGCCCATGCCAGTCCATAGAGCAATGCCTGCACAGATAAAAAAAAACCAAATGATAGATTTTCAAATTTGAATATAAGGAAAGAAAATTATATTGAGAAAATAAATTTTATAATCCAAAGTGCTTACATATGCTATGGATGCAAGCAATGCAAAGCAGAGTATCACTTTCTCTCCAACCATTGGATTAATCAGTGGAGCCAACACCATCTGCAACCAAACTCAATCTATATATAATTAATAAACTTGATAGCACCCGACATCTAACAATTTTTTTTAAATTTATTACTACTTTAGAACCTATTTATAAAAAATAAATTATATACAGTTGAATTTTAACTATCATTTAGAGTATTTAATATTTCTTTATAAACCAACAAACCCATCCAATTTCAGTTACATTAGGTGAAATAATGTTGTTTTAAATTTATATACAACCAGTGATATAATATTTATTTCTTAGTCAACATGAATAGTATAACATTCCAGCAATTATCAAAACATATGACAGACATATAACAATGAACGAGACTTCTTATTTTTCAATGAAATTAGATATAGACATTCTAACCATTCACCGTTGACTATGGACAATAATGGACAATAACCTAATGCCTTGTTTGGTAGAGAGAAAATAATTCTAATAGGATGGGAAGAATTAAGATGAAGATGAGAATGAAATGGCAATAAGAATGGACAAAAATACATGTTTGGTAGAACTACGAATGAAAACAAATATAGTTCTATTCATGTTTTTTTATTTTGTTTTTGTTAAAAGCAATCCAATTCGAGGTACAAATGATCAAATATTAAACATGAATACTTTTATGTATTAATAAGAATTTGAACTTTGGTTCACATGTTGTGAGGGATTAGTTTCTTCTTCTAAACTCAAGATTTAACAATTTTAATATCAAGGAAAGAGGAGAATTATGGATGCGTGTTTTTCCCCCCTTTTTCAGAGTTCTATTGTTTACATCTTGAGAAATTTAAGAATATTATCACTATTTGAATATATTAATTTGAACCCTCATTGTATGAGATTATTATCAACAATAATAGCCTCATAACTAACTTAAAATATTTTTTTATATATTTATTTAATGTAATTACATCTTTTAATATCTGAATTCGGCACCTTAAATAAATTGATTTAACTCTTTTAATTAATTGAACCAAACTCCTTTTGATATGACTTGGCATACTCGCACCTTAAATAAATTGATTTAACTCCTTTAATTAATTGAATCAAACGCCTCTTGATATGACTTGGCGTACCGTGCGTGTGTATACATACCTGGGAAAAGATTGAACCAATCCCCACCAACATTTGAATTTCTGAAAACTGATTCTTGTCAAAGCCGAAAACTGCTTTCAGATAGTACTGCACCGAAAATTCAAGCCACGAAATTAAATGATTTAAATCAACTTATTTCACAGTTTTTTAAGTAGTTATATACAATTTTGTCTACTTTAAGGATCTCATTTTTAACTTGAAAAAAAAAAAAAAAAAGCAGGAAGATCGACATACGAGCAAGATGGTGACTGTGCCAGACATTCCCAACTCATAGAAGAAAGAGACAAGAGCTATGCCTCGCAATGTCGGACTGAACGAAGAATCACGGATTAATTTAGGAGTTCATCATGCAACTGTCTTGTTTAGTCATAAATAATATGTTTACTATAAAATCTGATCATAATTAAAGAATAAAATATATGGGAAAAAGAAATATATATGAGATAAAACCTGGAAATGACAAGTCGAGCAGCATTGGTCATAGAAGTGAATCGTTGATGGAGAATATGAGTGAGCTTAGGGAAGCGATGCGAGTGCTGATCCTTGGTTGGAGCTAACTTCAGAGTTTCAGAAAGGAACACGAGCATGTAAGCTGAGCAAAATATCAACAGCGTCGTCGACACCTGCAATATAATTTTCATTCACCCCAAGATACTCATTCCTCATCAACTTCTATATATTTCGCATAGTATATCTGTGCCTGCTGGATGCTACTTTGACTCCATATATCCTTATATATTTTAATCGTATTTTACTTTTAGTTCTTATGGTTCATTCATTTCTATTATATTTGCCCACATGTACTGATGTACACAACTCACACATCAGCTGCTAGCACAAAGTAATTATTCCAAAGTATCACATAATTAATTTAGTAGTGTTAAATCCATGTTAGCAAAACAAACACCATTTAGGTCAGCTTATGGTCCTTACGAGTTTTTTTTTTTTTTAATCTATAAGGATTATTCAAAAGCTGACATTTCTAGGTTTCACACTTGATGTAGATAATACTTTACCTAGCATTTTCCTAGATAGATGGAAAAGTGGAAAGAAAATAGAGAGAAAAGAAAATTATGAAAATAAATTTTAAAAAATAATGTTTTTATTAATTTTAAGAGTTTTCTCATATATATGTTCTTCTTTCCTTTTTTTTTTTTCATTCCAAACAAAAAGTTAATGGCATCGGCCTCTTGAAAAAAATTAATAGCATAATTACCCAATTTCTTAACTTATGGTGGAGAGAAGAACTCAAGAACATACCCCAAAAATGTAGTGCGCAGGAAGGAAGCGAGCCAAGGCATCACCTATGAACTGTGAAGCAGAGTGAAGACCAGTGATACACCCAAACACTGCTGCTCTTTTGTTCTCTTCTACAATATCTGCCTGATCAATCAAAAATTATTTTAATTTCATATAGCTTTAAAAAATTATTAAAATTATTATTATAATTTATAAAATCATAAGGTCGAAAAAGGCTCACCACATAAGCAAACATGAGGCAGTAAGTGCTGCCTTGACTGATAATGGAGGAAACGGTGCGTAGCACATAGTAGGCATACACATGTTCCTCTGTCTGTTTCCACGATATTACAGCTGTCCCCCCACAAAATCACAATTTCATAAATAAATATATGAAATATTGATTAGCCAGGTATGTAATATGTTAAATACATACATACATACATACATACATACATACATATATATATATATATATAACACAAGTGTGCTTATTATAAGATGAAGCAGAGAAGAAGAAATACCAAAAGGGAAGATGGAGGCAGAAAAGGTAAGGAGGAGCAAGGGTTTGCGGCCATACTCGTCAGCAAGCTGACCCAGTAGCGGTAGCACCACCATCTTGAAAATTCCCACCACCTTACATTTCCATATATATATATATATATATATTTCTCATATCATCAAGGTTTGGTTTTCATGATTACATATATAATAGAAAGAAATTCTCGTTAAAGAGACACAAATTGATTTTTTTTGTCATTAGATCAATCTCATCTGTATATAAAAGCTGATCAATGGAGGATCTAAATCAAAAATCACAGCCACATGACAACAGCAAATTACAAGAGTGGGGAAATGTATGTGTGTGTATTGGATTTGAGTGTGTGCTATTTCTTTTACGACCCCAAATCCCAGACCTTCATTTGATGAGGGATTTATTAGATCAAATTTCTTTGACCATTAATTACAACAATGAAAGGTTGAGATTTGAGATATTAAAGAAGACAGAACAAGAGACAGCAAACACTTCAAATCCATGTGTGCATGTATGTGAAGAGATGAGAGAGAGATGAGTACTGTTTGTTGAAGAGCGACGATGAAGAGAGATGTGGAGCAAGAGGAAGAGTGAGGAGGACACAAAGCAGAAGTGGTGAAATCAACGAGAACAGAAATCGGCATTTCTTCGGCGACGCCATGGATGAAGAACGGCAATAGTAAGTGAATCAACGGCCTTAACTCTCTCATCCCACTCCACCACCACCACCACCCCATTCATTCATTCCTTCATTCCCTTCTTCACATTTCTAATATATGTGTATGTGTGGTTGATCTATTGATGTATCATCTTGTCCCTTTTCTTTTCTTTTTTTTTTTTTTTGTTTGACTTCTTAAATGAAAGCGATAGTTTCTTTTCCCTCCGTTATTGACCCGGCATTCTTCTTCCATTCCTTGTGCTTTGTTTCTTAAATTCCATGCGTTGTATGGAGCTTATATTGAGTCTTTCCTTTCATCAAAAATGAAGAACTGTTCTCACCATTTATTAAATATTAATTATGATTATGATATGTAGCGTTTATTTCTAAACTAGTTTGATTTATCAATGAACATGCATGGGACATGCCGCTTGCCCCAGCTGAAAATGAAGTGATGTCCTTTCTTATCCTTTTGGCCTATAGCATGTCAGGGAATTCTATCCTCGATCTTTTCTCTCTCTCTCTCTTTCTTTTTCATCTAACTATTATATCAAGATTTAGATTTATTTCTTAAAAATTATTATTAAAATGTCAAATTATAAAAAAATATAAATAATCAAATTCAAATTGTTAAAATTTAATTTGAGTACTTCAAAATATAGTAAAAATAAAGTAAAGAGATGATAAAACTTTCAGTCCCTCAAGTTTATTTTTCATTGACATGGTCATTATGTTTTTTTTTTAAATTATCATGTTAGTATTTTTAGTTTTAAATTACAAATTGACTCTTAAATTAATTTAATATGTGAAGTATATTGATGATGTTTGATATGCATATGTAGTTAAATGAAAACAAATTAGTTTTGAAATTAATTTAATTTTTTTCAATTTAATCTTTTATATGTGTCTTGGCATTTTGTTTTTTGAAATTTCTAAATACGTTTTTTTAAATAATTACCTTTTTAATTAATATACATCACTACCATTAATATTCTCTTATTCATATTAATAGATTTTAACAGTATTACTTCTTCTTTATATAATAAAAAATAAATTAATAATTGAAACTTAAGAGACAAAGTCTCATTTATTTAAGATTTTCCATGAAAAACTCACTTATTTTTTTGAAAAAAATATATTTTATGAACTTTTATTATATTTTGTTCAAACTTTTAAAAACAATGAAAATATGAATAAAAGGAGATTTCTAAGAGAAATTTTAAAGTAGCTTGGTACCCTACGTCTATTCAATTAACATGCCCTAAATTATCTAAATAAAATCTCATATAATATTATTTTAATTAATTTTATTCTTATAATAAAATATATTTTTTATTTTTTATTTTTTACTATCATTAATATCAAAATTAATTTATATGTAATTCCATTTGAATGTTATGTTCTTGTTGAACATATCATAAATAATGTGACACACCCAATCTACTTAAAAATTTCTTAATTTCTAATTATTTTAAGAAATTACTTTGAATAACTCCAAAAAATAATTCAATGAAGTAAATTAGAGAACTTTAAAATGACTAAATAATAAATTATTTTGAATAACTCTTGGAAATAAACTAACAAAGATATTATAAAATTTTAAAATAATTAAATAATAAATTATTTTTTATAAATAGGGATCCATGAAGATATCATGAATCGAACATAAAATAATATCTAGGTTTTATAAAATCTCAACAGAATAATTTTTTTAAAATATATAAACTATTTAAAAATTATTTATCCTTTAATTTTAAACAATCTAGCCTTAAAAAATAAAAATTAAATTTATAAAAAATATTGGTGAAAATAAGTAAGGAAAACCTAGAAACCATGAGTGAAATACCAAAAACCTCAAATATTTCTTCTGAACCTATTTGACTTTCTTCACCTTTTTTTTTTTGTATTGCCTTCCTTCCTTTATAAAGCAAACCCTTTCAAATAAAATAAAAAACCTTATAAAATTTACCACCCTACCAAGAAATGCTCATATTCAAAATATAGACCTTCCTCTTTTGAACCCATACATTCAGTATCATAAATCTAACTCTTTCATTAGAGGTATTAGATACTTAATCTCTGCCCAACATCCTTAAGTAAAAGAAGTCATTCAGACTTCTAAGCTTAATCAGTGTGGTCTTTCAACCACTCCTGCTGAACAATATTTTATTCTTGAAATCCATTAGTATTTGATCAAACACCTGGAATGACTAAGGCTATACACATCTTCATGTTGGAGTTGTTTGCCTAATCTTAACCCTTCATGGAAGAAAAAAGTATTTCTACTATAGTTATGATAGCTTTGCTAGATACCATTTACAGATCTTATAGTAACGCTTTAATTAGACCTTTGTTGACTACTTCTAGTGTAAGGTCAAAATCCAAGGTGATCATGAGAATAACCCAAGACAATTACTAAGTTTGTAAAAATCACATAAATAGGATCTCAAGTTTTCAAACTTTTAAAATATTCAAATATACTTTTATGAATAAAAAATCAAAGTAGAACATGTATACAAAAGGAAGGGGTACCGACTTGTAACAAAGAATTTACAATTAGATTGAAAAATAACATTTCAACATAAAAACACAGTGATGCGTCATGGCTTATAATAGATACGTCGCACCACGTTGCACGAATTTGACAGCAATGTTGCTATTAATAACAACACCCGAGGGAAAACTTCCAACACGCCCCATTTTTCCATCCGGCATTCGATTGAAGTAATTTAAGTATTATAAAAAGCTTTTTCTGAACTCTAGCTAATAGTATTAGTTTTACATTTAAATCATTTCTCAATTATAAATTGGATACCCATTTTCAAAATTACTCCTTTTACTAATTAAACACAACTTGGGTGTCATATTTTCAATCCCAGTGCAAAAAGCTCACACAAAACCTTAAATGCATGTCAATCAATTATAGTAATGCATTGGCAAAATAAAGCTTTCACAAGTTTATATTCATTTCACAAATCATCCCAGACTATAAAACTAATAATTATGTGGCCAAGTTCATTTTAAGCATTGTTTTCCTTTTCAAAATGTTACCACAACCACAATACTAGTAACTATGTGGCCAAGCACAAGCATACATAAAAAATTTTCGTCAATTAAAAGCATCAAGACACACATAGGGTCACAATACTAACAATCATGTGTCCTTCTCAAATTCATGCCAAACCACAATAATAACAATCATTTGGCTGGATATTATATGTATAATCAATATCAATCTTATACCCTCTTAATATCTCTGATATGAAATTGGTGGCTATTTAGTAGTCCATGAACTTAGACTACCCAAGCCTTTTACTCATGAGGAGCTGCCTGACTAAGGCTACTATACTCAATTGTGAGACACAGTTTCCTCCAATACTAATAACTATGGAGTGTCATACCTTTAATTTAGTTTCCCTATAAACTGATGAAAATTAGTTAGGTTTAAGTCCCTTAAAGAATAAGTGGGACAATCCTCAAGAATAATAGAACAATAGCTATCTCTTGATTCTAATGATAAGCAGCCTGACTGGCTTTCGACTCCAATAATTTGTTGCTAATATTATATGGATCTATAATATCTACTCCTCTCTTTATAAGCTAATTCTCGCCTTATATGATCATGCTATACACAAATATTTAACACATAATATGCAATTTTAGACATCATTCTCGTTATATCATGCTGTTAACTATTACAAACAAAATCATACTCACCACATACCTCAATTCACAATTTTCCTTTTTACTATGATTATACACACACACACACACACACACATCATTTTCATCAATTGAAAACATATTTTTATACACATCACGTAAGTTATCAAATTGCCACAATTTGCATCAAAAGTGAGTTTACAAACATTGATTGGTTTCAAACAATTCATTTCAACATATAATCAACTAAACAAGCATATGTACAGACTAAATTTTCCCCGATTATCTCAAATATTTGATAGGTTAAAGGTTTATCCTCTAAATAAAACACTTCTAAAGCCCTTCTCAACCTTGAATAGTGTCGATGGGTAATTAAATTTAAAATTAATCACATTAATAATTAATAATATCCTCATTAAGATAAATCCCAACACTCTAGCTCAACACTTCCAACTCACACAAAACACAATCTCTCATTTTCTAACATACCTATAGAGTCAATTAGCTTCCTTTAACTCACATTAGTCTCAATGTGTCATTAAACCATCATTAATGGCATTTCAATTCATCCAACCACCTAAATAAAGGCTATTTTTAGGTATTTATTACCTTTCAACCACCAAAATTCATAATGTAATTAATACTATATTTAAATAATCTAAATAACTCTCGTTAACTCTATTTAAGCTAATGGTTTAGACCCATAATATCTATAGACTGAAAATCATCATTCCAATAAAAATCCTAACTTCACAACCAGAGAAAATGGTGTAGACAAGAAGAGAAGATGTGGGTGAAGACTTACCTAGGTGTAGTCATATTCAAATAACCCTAAATCCTCTGAAATAGTGTGCCCTAGCAGAGAAAATCCTCATTTCTTCATTTCTCTTTTTATCTTTCTTCTCCTTTCTTGTTTGATTCTCATGTTTATTATTGAAAAAATTTGCCATGTGCTACGGTATTTGGCATAAAGAGGCCTCTCCTTCTTATTCTACTACTCATGCACTATGGCAAATATGGCACAAAACTATTTTCCTATAATTTTATCCCTTTTTAATGTTCAAGTGACATGACTTCATTTCGGACCCAAATCCAGGGTTAAAACCACAATAAAAAATATTTATTAGATTCTTTTAGCCATACACTACTTTAATATACCAATTTACCCTAGTTTAGCTCAGTTAATCGGGGTTGAACTTTTTGGGATGTTACACTTGGTTAAGGGAGCGTGATCCTTACCATAGTTCTTGATTTTAAAATCAAGTTAATAGATCCAACCTTCTCCACCAAATTAAAAGCTCATATCTAAATTGTTAAAGCAAAACAAGACCCATCAGCCACGATAGCCACCTTTCATCATTAGATCATCTACAGATCACAAAACCATTTGTTTGATCTTTACTTCCTTAACTCAACCAAGGATGCCCTATGAACATTTTTTAAAAAGACCTAGTGAATCCTTTGTGATATAG